AAGATAAAACTTATTTTTAGAGTAACTCGGGTTACTGATAACCAAATAATTCTCTATTTTTTTAGTAATTCACTTAAAAGAAAATAAAGTTGACAAAAAGTAACTAAAAAGAAAGAATAATTGATTGTACTGAATAAGCAAGAGAAAATGAATATATTTCGATATTACTCTGAACGTGTCTTTACCAATGAGATTCTCCTCTCTTATATAGGAGTTTACAAATATAACATTTTTTTCTATTTATGGCGGAATCATTATGAGCTTTAATGGAATTAATTGTCCTTTATGATTGGTAATCGCAATTGTCTATGAAGATTTTGTAACAATTATGATTCCCCTTCTTCATTAATTGTAGGTCCGTAAATCTTCCCTCTTTCCAGTCTTGATTCATTCCGCTAGTGCCTCTTCAGCAATTGTTTTAGGTTCGAACGTTGGATCTCCATTATCTCGTGGGTGTTTGCCTCGTACATTTTGCGCTTCATACATCTTTTAAATGAAATATGCCAGTTGTCATTTCCTCATTGTTCCACGTATCATGCTCTGTCAGCTAAATATAATTTCACGTGTATCATTTATTTACCACAAATACATTAAGAATCAATCAAAAGCTGAAAATTAGCGAAAGCTGGAAATTATCGACTCGGCAAGGAAAGAAGAATCGGAGGAATCAATCAAGACTTGGAATATTGCGGCTTACATCGAAAGAAGAATCAGTTATAAAAAATCTCACTAGCACAAATCAACCGATTGATAGAGTTATCTGTTGGGTATGACTTTAATTAAAGCAGTCTAGAATGGAAGCATATATGCGAAAATCTGCTAGTATTTTGGAAGGCTCCGACCTTATTCTTGGAATATCTTCCAAGGATCAAATCTCTTAGGTTGTCATCTCTCTGTCAGCAACAGATCAAGGAAAGTATCTGCGAAATATCAGTAACTCCAACGGGCCTCCTTATGTGTATATAAGAAGACGAAGTACTCCATAGCAAGACCTACAAGGAGCTATCAAAGAGAATTCTCTTGCAACCCAAGAAAACTGGACTGGGATTCATATTGAATCTGAACCAGTATAAAATACTGATGTACAATTTACTTTACTACAATTTATCATTTTGTAATACATTCATAGTTATAATTAGTACCATAGTATACTACACTGGTAGAGTAGTTGACTAAAGGACTCAAAAGTTACAAAGATTACAATTCACTCCCCTCCCCCCTCTTGTACTTTCAATTGGTGTCAGAGCCAGGTTCCATTAATCTAACATTGCTTAACAACTCGTGAAAAAAAATCATGTCAAACCACGCAATTGTTGGAGCCTTGTTTCAAGAAGGTACTTCGCAGACCAGACCTCCCTACTTTAATGGTCAAATTTCTCTCACTAGAAAGTTAGAATGGAGATTTACACGAACCCCTATGATGTCAAAGTCTAACATGTTATCAAGAAAGGAGACTATCCTATCCCGGTTGCAAAATTCGATGAAAAGACCGACGGACATGTATCTACTGACCCTTTTGGATATAGATGATTATTCTGATGAACAAATGGTTGTAATGCAGATCAATGCAAAAGACAAAAATTATTATACAATACCATAAGCAGAGAGGAAGATGAAAATATCTCAAGTTGTGCTACTACAAATGAGATGTGGGATAAGCTAGAAGTCACTTACTAAGGAACAAACAAAGTAAAGGGGACCCGAATCAATCTGCTGATACATGATTACGAATTATTTCAAATGAAGGAATGAGAATCGATCAAGAAAATGTTTGCTCATTTTAGCAAAATTATAGGAGATCTCAAAGCCTATGGTAAACCTTAATTATGTGGTGAACAAGTTAGAAAAATCCTAAGAAGTCTGCCCACAGCTTGACAAACTAAAGTAGTGGCTCTTGAATCACAAGACCTGGACAAGTTATCTTATGATGAATTAAGAGGAGATCTCATTACTTTTGAGAAAACCCATCTCAAGAAACAAGGACAAGATGAGAAGTATAAAAGCGTGGCGTTCAAGACTTTCATTGAAGAATCTGAAAATGAGGTGACGATGAAGTAGAAGCGCTAGAGGAAGAAATTACCATGGTATTCAAATCCATGAGTAGACTAATAAAAAGATACACAAACACAAAAAATGAAAGGAATAATCTTAGAAGAAATAGACAATTTAGTGGTCAAGAAAGGAATGATGTAAAATGCTTCGAGTGCGGAAAATATGGACATATTCAAGCTAAATGTCTTGACATGAAAAGGAAAGCTACTAGAGGTTTTTAGAAAAATAAATCCTTTGGAAGATGGAGTAATGAGGACAATTCAGAACATGAAGAAGTTGCAAATCTTATTTTATAACCTTATTAGAAAATGAATCAAACAAGTTTTCTGGTTATTGGACGGATGAATATTTTTTAGAAGATGATACACAACATACCACAAATAACTGCTTCATGACTCGTGGCAACGCAAGAGAGGTAAGACCTTATGACTGTGAAAAATACAATGAACTCTAGGACATTTTAGACTTGACACTAAAAAGTCTCAAAAAAATCTAAATGAATTAAAGATACTAAATAGAGAAAAAAAGGACGGGAAATTTAAACTTGAAGTCTGTGAACTCAAAAAAGATGACTTCCAAGAACAGTTCAGGAATTACAAATGCATTTAAATGGCCTGCATAAATCCACCAGTCACAGCTTAGTCAAGTATAACCATTCGACTCCTAAATCAACTGAAAAAAGGCCTAAGAGTGAAAAATCTACAGACATTCATTCTACTCGTAGATCTATCGCCCATGAGCAGTATATTCCATTCTGCCATTATTGCGGTAAATTCGGACATATGTACTCATTATACAGGTTTAGATATTCAAACAAGGGTTGGGTTTGGAGACCCAAAAATAACTCCTCTATTTTTTATCCTAACCGGAAAGGACCCAAGCAAGCTTGGGTACCTAGGAGAAGTAATAATCTTATTTTGCAGTAACAACACAGGAAGAGTCGTAAAGGAAAATGGTATCGTGATAATGCGAGTTCTAATCACATGACAGGTGACAAAAAGCTAATAAAAAAAGTCATAAATCTAGATGGAAATGTTAGATTTAGAGATGATTAGGAGCCGTTGTTTTTGCTTTGTTTGCTGGATTGGTACGCTTTCTTCAAAAATAAAGATCGTTGGAACATGAACAGTACTATTCAACAACAAATGTGACATCACTGGAGTATATCTAGTTGATGGACTAAACTACAATTTGCTGAGAATCAGTCAACTATGTGACTTTGGGTATTAGGTAAAATTCAAGAAAACATATTGTGCTATTGAAGACGAATTAGGTAAAATAATCTTACCAGGAAAAAGTTATGAAAATGCTTATATTCTTGATTACTTTGAAAATTTAGAAAGCCATATTTGTTTGGAATCTATTACCGATGATCCATGGCTATGACATAAAAAATTTGGTCATGCATGCATGCACCTAATTAAAAAACTGTCCAGACATGATTTTGTCATAGGACTTCCAAAACTCAACTTCTCAAGAAATCATATGTGCAATGCTTGTCAACTTGGTAAGCGAACTAGGTCCCTTTTTAAATCAAAGAGATAGTTTCTACTTCTAAACCTCTGCACCTCTTTTGCATATGGACTTATTTGGTCTAACTAGAACTGCTAGCCTTTTAGGTAAGAAATATATTGTTGTTATTAAGGATGATTATTCACATTTTACCCGGGTAATATTTCTCTGTCATAGAGATGATGCTTTGAATTTTTTTGAGATTTTTTGTAAGAAAGTATAAAGAGTAAAAGGATATTACATATCAACTATCCAGAGTGATTATGGAGGAGACCATCCAGGGAATTAACCCGTAAGTTGGGTGACCATTTAGGGAATTAACTCGTAAAAAAATAGTGTATAACAAAGTTGTATTTTCTGCCAGATGTGATTTTATATGAATTGGTTAAAGTCTTTTGATATTTGTGTCAGAAAATATAGTTATTATATGATTGTGGTGGGAGAAAAAAAATCATAATTAAATGACCATTTGTATAATTTTCGTTATTTCAATGTCTAGATATAGTGAATATTTATTTACCAAAAAGAAAAGAAAGCAAAATCAACCAGTCACATGGTATTGGCAAAGCGTTCAAGCATACTAAGGGCTCGTTTGGTACGAGCGATAAGGGATAATCAATCCCGAGATTAAATTTGAGATGATTTTATTCCACGTTTGGTTGGGATAAAATCATGATATAACTAATCCCGGGATTGCAATATTTTTTTATCCTCATGGGAGGGTGAGATAACTAATCCCGGGATAATTAATTTTACAATAATTGATCATGGGATAAATTGTTTCCCAACCAAACAACCCGTGAGTGATTAACTAAGACTAATAGTAATACCTTTTGATTAGAATATTTCAAATAAAAAGTAGCAAACGTACGAGAACTTTAAATTACTTACGTTAACTTTATACTCGAGAAATATACTGGTATCTACTTCTAATATTGGGCTTGAGTTGAGTTGATTCTCCTTTTTAAGGGGAAAAATCAGAAATAACCAAATTTATCATTGGTAGTTAAAAAATAGCTACAATTTCAAAAGTATTCGAAATTTCGCTACTTTTTCTTGTAAAGATAAAATCTGAACAAAATCAATCTTAAAAATCCGAAAAAATTCTAGCGTAATGTGCTAGAAGTTTATAATCTAGCATATTATACTGGAACTTTCCGTGTGCTGGAGTTCTAACATAATATGTTGAAGTTTATATACAGGATCTCCATAATCCAGCATATTATGCTGGAACTTTTCGTGTTTCAGTAAAATAATGACTATTTTTCAATGACTATGCAAACGATAGCTATTTTCAATTACCAGTCCGAAAACTGGCTAGCCCGTGCTATTTTAACCTTTTTTATTGCTACAAACTAAATGGAATCTTAGTGACTAATGACTAATAAAAGATGACGCCTTAATCCAAAATATCAAATGCAAAAATTAACTGAGAATTAAAAGAAAGAGGCTGAAATTTGAATTATGCGGCAAAAGTCAAAACTCACTAAGAAAACGTTCAAAAATGGAATATCTAGTCCACAAAGCTACAACATCAGCTTTAATGCTTGTTTACAAGTTTACAAACTTGATATTCAGCCTCCAATATCGTGCACCCTCACTTTCTGATCCACTGAATTTTATAAGCAATCAGTCCTCAGTGACAAAATTTAGTTCATAATTTTCTTGTGTTATTTAATTTGTCACACGGCTAATTCATGTTGTTGATGAGTGGATTCATCCTCATTGATGCAACAATATTGGTGATTCACATTTCTGCCAATTTTAAGAGAAGAAGATGGCATTGGCATTGGCATTGGCATGGGTGGGGATTCCAGCAACATCTCAGTCTGGAGATAAGAGCAGTAGGTGTGGAATGTGGTGGGAGTCACGTTTAATTGAAATCCTATACCGAATAAGAAGTCCACCTCTAGTAGGTTCATCTCGTTTGTGCTAATTCCTCCAACTTTTGCATAGTAAGCATTGTTGTAAAATCTGCCAAATTGAAATTTGGATGAGAAATTAAGGTTATACATTTTTTTCAACTTTTAAGTACTACCGATAAATTGATATAAGCAGTTATCTATTATTGAGTACTGTAACTTAAATTGATAGTGTGAAAATATTACTATTTCATTATGCAAAACTTGAACCCTACTTGAAATATCTCCCACCTACTAGATATCACGCCACTCTAGAGAGCGTAATTATGCATGGAATTGAAATACCCCCAAAATTATGTTTCCTGCATCCCCAGATGAATGAGATATCTAGAGTAAAAGAATTTTCAGCATAAATTTGAATATTCCAATAAAATTTTAATATAATATATATACCTTTAGAAACTGCTTAGTACCTCAAATCATATTTTATATTTAAAGTACTTATAAAAAATGTTTAGAAAATCATAACAATATTTAAAGTACTTATAAAAAATGTTTAGAAAATCATAACAAAAGAATTGTTTAATTTATCTCATATATGAAGTAGTTGGCATGGTTTGGGGGGGGGGGGGCAAGGGGG